CTGGACTGGAACCGCATCGCGCGGCTACACAGCCAAGTATTGGTAAGCACCTGTGAAAACTCACTAACAGCATCACGCTGTCACATTAAGGCATATCAAGGCATTAAGGTATATCATATATTAATATATATATGTTTTTTTTATTCTAATTGTATTCCTAGGCGGGTCTCTGTGCTTTTCCAATTTCCAATTTCCAGAGCTAATTGCATACATACATACACACATACATACATACATACATACATACATGCATACATACATGTATGTATGCATGTATGTATGTACAACAGTCACAATGTTGAAAGAAAAGAAAACTTATTTACAAAATATATTCAAAATCATTCAAAATATATCCAAAATTACTTCGTATAGAACATATTATTAAAAAGTGTCCGCTTAAAAATATAAATTTCTTTAGTGTTTTTAATATTGTTCCGTAGACCCCGGAAGTAAAATGCGATATAACCTTGCTTTTCAACATAAGCACATTTTCCAACACACTGATGATAGATATTGAAAGACTATTCAGTTGGTAAGAGTACTCCTTAACAAGGAATTCGATAACTTTCGAACTTACAACTTGATATCGACCTTTCGAAATAATACCGGAACACCTCTTATCGACTTTTTGAAGTAATACTGCGATGTTGAAATATTATCCGACTTTTTTCGAGGGAGTTTCAATTAAAATGCTCCTCGCAGTCATGACAAGTGTAAGCGACTCAAAGTTCTTTCAAAGACTAAATGCGTGACTATGAGTGTAGACGCTAAATGGAAGAGTCTGACCCGTCGAGACGTTTGCTTGTCGACCTTCCAAGCTCACACGGAGTTTATAAATAGTAAGCCTTTTGCAAGTGAATCTTACGCGCAAAGTTTTGATCGAGCTTATTTTTATTCCGCGATGAAAAAAATTAATTTTTTTAAGAAAGTTGGATCCATAATTATATGTCATCTCATTTTAAAACCAAACGTTCTGAAAGAGTTCTCCTAAATCGGTGCCTTTATCAAAATTTCTAATCGAGCGTTTTCCGCCCTTTCTTGTTTGCAACGGGAAACTAGTGTTTTTGTCTTATTTTGTTATCAACAGGAAAAAAAACTTCAGATCTCCTGCCTCGCAAGTTAATATGTTGAAAAGTTCATAAAGGAATTTGTTCAGCCTTCTTAGAAACTTCTGAGCGGGAAATTAGTTTAATTATGATAGAAAGCAGGTTGCCTTTGGGTCAAGAAAGACCCAGTCTTTTTTTCAATTATATACGCTCCAACTCTGAATATTTCTTATTAGCCTTATTGGCAGAATACATCCACACTAAGATACGTCGAAGATAATCGTTACAGATAGCTATCAGAGCTTCGGCTTTTTTAGTT